ACCCTACTTTTACAGGGTATGTTGCATCCTTAAAAGTGTCCTGTGTAACAAAAGGCTGCCTGCTCAAACAATAAGCCTCTGTCCCGAGCAATATATTCAAGAGCGACATGGCATTTTACCTTCAACAAGGCACTGAACCTGAGTCACTTCAAGGAATAAGACAAAAGCTGCTGCTGCAGAGTCCTGCAAATCTGACAATGGTGAACACGGGACATGCGTAAGAGGTGTCGAGACATAGCTCCAGGAAGGATGAAGATATACACATATATACACACACACGACAGAAGGGGCAACCATGAATTTTGCAAACTGTGGGCACCAGAAAGTATGTAGAGGATGTCATGAAAATTCACAAACCAGACTCTTAGAAGGCTGGCCAGTTCAGAAGCTAAAGGCAGAGCTAGCTAGTCAATAGCTTTCTTTCCTAGTCATTAGTTTCCTTTCTAGTCAATAGTTTCTTTCCTACAGCAAAGTGGCTTAAAACCTAATTTCACATCTGGCCATATACAGAAGTATAAGGCCAATGATCATCAACCCAATGCCATCACTGACAGAAGAAGGGGTTTTGGTTTGTTTTGTAAGGAAAACAAATAAAATAAAAAGGTATTGAAAGTCATGAGGTACAGTGTGGAATAGAAACAGGTAGACTGATGGCATTCTCGTGAGCCATAAGGCATAGAGAAATCTCTGTTTCTGCCTTTCTCACATATGTACATACAGGCAGTAGATGCACCATTTACTCATCCACGTACCCACTCAACAAGCATTTACTGAATCCTAGGATCTGCCCTCCCTGTGCTAGATGTTAGCTAGGAAGGAGTAAGGCAAAGGGATCCGTAAAGACTCTTAGAATGGTAAAATTAAATGGGAAATCAGAAACCATCTAAAGCAATGCTTTACAACTTTTCCTTAAAAAGGCAAAGTTTATTTTTTTTTCACTATTAAAAGTTGCAGACTTCAACATATATATGTGTTAAAAAGTTATTTAGGCAAAGCAATGGTTCCATCAGGGGAAGAGATGGAGCTGGGTGACCTGTTCAGAGACCACTTGCTTCACCTCCCATCTACCATCCCCACTACAAGATGACCCCTGGGACCCCTCTCCTGAGTGCAGGTCACAGATCACAATAGACATTCTGAAAAGAAAGGCTGGAGATATTCCAATCTTCAGTTTTACAAATGAGGAAATTAAAGCTCAAGCATTCTGAGTTGTCTGACCAAAATATCAAATTAATTAGAAGATTCTAGAAGGCAAGTAATTTATTTGAATTTCAGGTTAGTGCTCATTCCACTACGTGAGCACAACTTTAGCAATTCAAGTGGCATAAATTTAAAACATATCATCATTTCTATTCTTCTGCCATATCCAAAGTCGAGCAAACTGGTCTGCAAACAAATGGGTAAAAACAGAACTTTTGAGAAAATATGGCATTTTGGGGTTTTAACAGGGCATGTTTTTGTTTAGGTTGTGTCACTGCCAATTCTTGTTCATAACTTTACCTTTAGTACACAATTATAATTTGTCTACTTGTTTGTTTTTCTTTTCCCCTCTTTCTTAAGGAAAGTTGAGTAAACTAATTTTTAACATAATATACTTGAATTTATTATTTCCAATTGTAAAATGAAAGCAAGTTTACCCATGTACAAATTCATGTTTCTATATTGGGGTAAAACTCAAAACTCACTGTCCTCCATTCAGAACCAACTCAGAGGTGCCCCTCCAGTGGATTTTCAGAGGCTGTAAATGGCACTGGAGATTTCCCATGCTTCTCTCATGGAGCAGCTGGTGGATTCAAACCACTTGCCATTAGGTCGACAGTTCAATTCCTTGCCCACTTAGAGATTTAAAGTTAATATTTTATAAGCAATGAAATAAATAATAAATGTTAATTCTAAATTTATACCTATATACATTGTAGGTCATTTTTATCTATCTCTTGAATTAAAATATCCTATCTCATTGGAAACAGATAGTGGGCAAGGTTAGACAACATGACAGGCATAATCACTGTGAATGAATTGCCCATGTATAAGATAAGGAAATGACAATTTTTTGTTACATGTATCTTTATAAAAATGAAAAAAAAAAGAAATGTCAACAATTAAACCAGTCAAATAAAATCTACGAGAATGTTTTAAACTAATAAATAATTTTTTGAAAATAAAGAAAAATACAATACCTCTCACTAAATACCGAGAGGAACAAGATTGGGAAGCATTAGTGCTCATCTTCTAGAAGGAATATACAAGTATTCCTTGCTAGTATCGTAAGAACCATCAAAAAAAGAAGAGAAAATGCAATGGAGTCAAAAGCTTGTATGAGTCTTGATGATCAAACCTGTCAGCAGAAACAAAAAATGAGCTCTTCATTTGGCAAAGGAAGGCTACATGTGTTTGAAATCATGACTGGACGGAGAGAGAAAACTGTCCAAACTTTAGAAGGAAAAAAACTCAAGAAAGTGGAAACGCTTTTTTTTATGTTTTCTTTTACAGATTACGTATATTATGGAAAAAATAGCCACCATCCCTCACATAATGTACATTATTTATGTGTATTTTATATAATTACTATAAATAGATTATAAAATGCTATATAACTTTACTTTAAATTTCCTTAGAAGATGAGCTTCTCTATTTAAAATTCCTTTTCCCCTCCACAATTTTCATAAGGGTACCTATAACATTGATCAAGCCAAATGTACAACCGCTTCTAATTTTTAACCAATCAAATTTACATAAATTATCTCTGGTCTCTGCTTTAACTTCAGGCTGTGTTTACCCTGACCTTTCTTATAAAGGTTTAGAGTAAACAACGTATTGCTTTTCTATTTGTGCCATTTAAAAAAAATGTAGCTATTAGGAAGCAGGAGTGGCATCCACTTCCTAAACAACTTGCTTCAGGAAACTATGAACTTTTATAATGTCAATAGTTGTAGAGGGGCTTCAGGCCTTTTGTTCATAGGGTTGCTATGAGTTATGCTCAACTCGAAGGCAGTCAACAACAACATAAACAACATAAAGCAATCAACAGTTTTTACTACTTATTATGACTTTAAAGCCCTTTCTCTTTCAATTAAATATCCTAATAGGGATTATTTTATGTCTCATTTCCTAATTAAATGAATATTTTCTGCTATAAATATATAAAAGCAAGGATAATTTCCTGAAACCATATATTTATGTATTATTGTTGTTATGTGTCGAGTCACTGTGACTCATAGCAACCATATGTACAACAGCCATAAACCCGGCTCTACTCCTTGCCAATCTTATTGTCTCCGACACGCCTATCCTCATTACCCCAGTGACGGAATCAATCCATCTCATCGAGGGTCTTCTTCCTCTCCTTCCTCCACCCTCCCAAGCATGATGTCCCTCTCCAAGAACTGATCCCGCCTTGCAACATGTCCAAAGAATGTCAGACACAGCTTCAGAATCCTTGCCTCCAAGGAGTAGCCTGACTTCACCCTCTCCAGGAAGAACCTGTTTCTTCTCCTAGCAGTCCATGGCATATTCAACTCTTCTCCAGCACCAAAGCTCAAAGGCAACAACTCTTCTTCTATCACCCCTAGTCATTGTACAGCTCTCTGATGCATAGCAACTAATAGCAAAGACCATGGCCTATATCAGGTACACCTTAGTCTCCAGACTGAGATCACTGCTCCTCAGTACCTCGGAGAGTTCTCTGACAGCAGAGTTTCCCAATGCAATTCGTCTTTTAATTTCCTGGCTGCTGGTACCATGAGTGTTGATTGTAGAATCAAGCAAACTGAAGCTGTTAACAATTTCAATCTCTTCATCCATCATGATGCTGCCACTTGGCCCAGTGGAGAGAATTTTGTGTATAAATGTTAATATTTCTCTCAAAATACAATAGAAAACAGATTTCTCTCTTTAACTTTCAATGTTTTTTACTTAAAATATGTTGTTATGGTTGTTGATTGCTGTTGAGTTGAGCAGGGCTCATAGCAACCCTATGAACAAAAGACCTGAAGCCTTTCTATAACTATCATTGCAAATAAAATATGTTGTGATTTGGAAATGTGCAAACATACATCAAAGCACCTTGCTAGTTCACCATAATAAAAGAAAAATAAGAATAAAATAAAACATGATTTCAATACTTGGTTTTAAACCTTGCTTGTTCAGTTCATGGAAAGCAAAGCTACTTCCTCAAAAACAAAACACAAATTGATGTCTTTAATGTGAAATACAAAACACAGTTAATAAAACTAAGTTAAACACACACAAACACACACAGGAGATACAATATTACATTATTTTATGTGCTGTCGAGTTGGAATTGACTCATAGCTGACACATCCAGTGGGTCAGAGGAGGAGAATGCCCACCTTTCTCTCGCAGGGTAGTCAGAAAATTAGCATTGTCTGTCTTTGGGCTGGCTTCTAGATCTGACCGTGGTTTCACATTGTCACACTTTCACAGTTCACCCAACACATTAAGAACAAAAAAAAAATGTTTCCCCCTAATTTTAGCTAAATCTGTCAACATTTACCAAATTAAATTTAAAAATATGTACTAATTACCTTGTACAAACAATGAACCAATTTTATGTTAGCAGAAATAGCATTTCTATTAAAAATAATTGTATTTCCCAAAGATAACTGATAATAAGGAGACATTGTTGTAAATGTTTACCGGTCCCTTTAAAATTTGGATGAAAAGACATGTTTTCTTAACAGGTCTGCATTCAATTTACTGTTGCATTATATGAAACTTGGTTTACGGAAAACTCTACACTTACACTTAACCCAGAGCAAACTTCAGGAGCCACTGGCTTAGTCTGTAGGGAGCTGTGCTGTTAATGCAAAAGTCGCACCTCTCTGGGGGTTCCAGTCCACTTGCCATTCCATAGGAAAAAGATGAGCCATCTGATCTCATGCAACATACAACCCCAAAGCCCAGGGTTAGTTATGAGTGAATTCTGTCCCTTGACAGAAATGTTTCTAATTGCTATATTTTTGTAATTAAAGACTTACAGGTCTCCATGCCTTCATCATCATCATCGACAGCAGGTTTATCATATGACTTGTCGATCGCAGCTCTGAAGCTCTCATTGCACCCTCTTCCTCGGATGATTCTGGGCCTTGGGCGGTGGAAAGGAATATCTCCATTCAGAGTCACCTCAGCCACGGCTGTCTGTAGACTCTCCAATGAGCTTGACTTCTTCAGACCGAGTGAAGGTCCTACATCTCTGCTGGGAGAACCTTAGGAATTTACAAACACAGAAAGTTTGTTAGAAGGAACAGCTAAAATGACATGCTTGACTATAACAATGAGTTATGGAAAACATCAAGGAAATAAATTACTACAAACACATCATGGGCTCAGTGATACATTTTGGGATTGCATGGGAAAGGAGATAAAGCAATAAGTAAAGCAATGATAACCAGTTTCTATTTTTCACCAATTTATGTTAGATTTGGTCTACTCTCTTTTCAATTAGGGGAAACATTACTTAAAATGCTACTCTAAAAACAGGTAAGACTTGTTGTTGTGTACCATCAGGTCAGAACTGATGCATAGCTGACCCTCCAGAAGGTTTTCAGAGGCAGTTAATCACACATAAAGAGATTGCCCATCTTTCTCCCATGGAGCACCTGGTGGATTTGAACTGCTTGCCTTTGGGATTGTAGTGTAGTGTCTTACAAAATTTTTCAATTAATATTTATAAAAAATGAAGGCCACACAGTGGAGTGGACTTGGGGGGAGGAATTGTATAACAATGAAAGAGTTTTTCTTCTACTTGTCAAGAAGAGTGAATTGGGGGGGAGGGGTGTGCAGGGAGAGAAGTGCAACAATAAATGGCTGGAAACCCCAAGTCTTTGTAAACTTTCATTAAAATTAATTTTTTTAAAAAATCTCAAAAAAATGTTTCTTTACATGGGACTAAGTAAAAATAAATTGTTATTTTCCATTTTTAGCCCAAGGGATGAATATTTTTCCAATAATTTTATTACAAGTAATGTAACTAAAAGAACCAGAATAACTTAGAAGCTCATTTGAAAAGCAGAGATGACAAAAAAGCTGAGGTAAGCAACTGAGATAAGAGTGTGTTTTTTAACATAATTGAACCATTTTGGGCATAATAAAATGATTTACTACAAAGATAACTTTTCTATCAGTAAACTTCATCAAGTTTCTTCCTCATTAGAGTGAAGATTCATGAACTTCCATAAATAACAGGAGCAAAAGAAACACGTCTATAATCCAATTAGGGTAAATATGGCACTAAGAAGAAATCCAATTCTGAGAAAATAGTAAAGTTCTGTGGAAAGAGCAATACAAAACATGAGTAGAAAAAAAAACAGGATTCTCTATAAAAAAAAGGGTAGGTAGGAAACGAAAGGGTATATACACTTGTATAACCTGCAGTAAATATATTAATGTCTGAAAAATAAGAGATGGACATAAGAAAGAATACTAGCAATTGCCAAGAATTTTAGCACTACAGCAGGTGAGGACAAAGAGAATTTAAATGTTGATTCTACTTCTTAAGAATCCAATGCAGAAAGGCGTGAGATACTACTAGCAACAGCAATAAGCTTTTAGAAGTAAATCAAAACTGATTCCTTTAAGCAGGATAGACAGCCTCATTCATCACACTGACCTGGTACGCAAAAGTCAACTAGTTTAGTCTCCAGATGACTGAAGTCCTAACTTTATACTACTACCTGAGCCATCCAAGTTACAAAACTGGTTACTCACTCAGACTGCTTAAAGACAGATGAAAACAGACGAGCAGGTAGGAGATAGGGGATAGTTTATCTCTACTTGGGGTCCTCAGCCCATATTTTGAGCAATAATTTAAAAGTGGAGCTCTAGTGTAAGGAATTGCATTGCCAGCTAAAAGGAACTAGCTGCTCCAATTTCCTCTTGTGCTACTTACAGCCTCTGAAAACTGGCTGGAGGTCAGTTTTGAGTTGCTCTCTTCTCAATAGCACCTCACAGCAGGAATTAAAAGGTACCTTCATTATGGTAATAAGTTGAGGACAAACATTATGACATGACTTTTTATGGCTCAAAGTACAAGATGGAATGAACATTAAGTAAATAGAGCCAAAACAAGAATTCTCTTTTTCTAGTGCATTCACTCAACATCATTTACCTAATGTTCAACAATGGGATAGCATTTCTAAGTTAGAATGGCCATGTTTAAAATGTAATATAGGTAAAAGCATGACTCAAATGAAGGCACCGGAGGATATAAATTTCTGTGTCTGGGAGGAAAAAAAAAATGATTTATTTGGTATTCGCAATACAGATGTGCACATATTTCATTGTATATTTTATGATAAAATTTCACATAAAATATCTCTTTCAAGGATGATCAATCTCACTTTTTCTCTCAATCACACTCCAGTTTTTGACAAGTTAGTTTTCTAAATACTCATAAAAGTCATATCATAGGAAGGAAAATGAATTTCCTTCTAAAGAACTAAATACAAAGTACGAAGCCAAGAAATAAAAATGATGGGGAAGGATCATTCCTGGATTGGGATATTTACATTTTTATTTCCTAGAATTAGCATCAGAAAGTTAACTTTCTGAATAAATTATGGCTGTCAATTTTTATGACTTCACAGATGCAATGATATTCTATAAACATTTACTAGGCAAATATTACATGCTTGCTTAGGTTCATAAAGGATACATATCTCTATCCACCTCTCTAGGTCTACAGTCATACAAATATGTAAGTGCATTTGTGTGTGAATATAGATATATATTGTTGCTGTTGTTGTTTACCATCGTGTTGGAACCAACCCATAGCTGACCCTCCATCGGGTTTTCAGAGGCAGTTAATCTCACTGGAGGAGATTGCCCACCCTTTTCTCATGGAGCAGCTGGTGGCCTCGAGTCGCATGCCTTCGGGATTACAGCACAGCTTCTTGCCACCAGGCCACCAATCACCAGAGCTCATAATGAGTTTCAGAAATGACATAAGTATTTATTGAGTGTTGTTTAGAATAAAAGGCATGCTGAAGAATCACTAAATAAGCAATAGTTATTGAGTGTAATTCAGACATAATGCATCTACATCTAGCATTTCCCTTTAAATTTACAACATCATGCATGGTACGGCATTTTGGCAAAATACTGAAAAGTGTTGATGGTAAGTGCTGGGTACAGTGAACTATACTCTCTACATATATGTATTGTTGAAAATATTCACAAGAATGATATTTATAACTTGTGCATCTCTATCAGGGATGAATAATCTGTAACCTTCAGGCCAAATCTGGTGCATTGTATCAGAACACAGCTATGCTCATTTGTTTACATACTGTCTATGGTGGCCTTCTTGATAGCAGAGTTAAACAGTTACAATAGTGACCTGGTAGTCATCCTAAGACTAAAATATTTACTAACTCATATTTTATAGAAAGAGTCTGTGGATCTTTAATATGAGTGTCACATATATCAAAATGTCAAGGACACTTGAACAAAGGTTTTCAGTGCCACATTAATTATCCCCTTGACATAATAACTGCCCTAATTAAGTACTCTGTCGTTAACAGAAAAGTCAGGGGTTCAAACCCACCAGTTTCTCCTTAAGAGAAAGATGTGGAAATCACCTTTCATAATAAAAGTATGGTGCAATTCTACTCTGTCCTATAGGGTTCTTATGATTCAGAATTGGCATGACGTCAGGGGATATCTATGTCACGATGGCTGAGGAGGGGCCATTCGATGGAGAAAGATAGCACATTCGGAAAAGTAGAGGGTCAGCAAATGCCAGGAAGACCCTCCAGGTGATGGATGGACAATGAGATGGATAACTGCAACAAGAGGCTTCACCAGAGCAGAGATGGGGAAGATGGCCCAGTATCAGGCCGGGTTTGTTTTACAGTAAGTAACTGAGTCAGAGCCAACCTGATGGCACTTAACAATGAAAAGAATCGTGATCTCTGTAAATGCACCATGATGGAAACGGAAAATTATTTCTTCTACATAAAGATTCCCTCAATTTATGTTAAAAAATCACTTATTTTAACTTAAAAAATATTCTAAGGCTTTCATTTTCCATCAATAATTTGGATCATGAATACAGTGACTTTTTAAAAAAAAATCTGTTGAGGATCAAACTGTTAGAAAACTAATTTATCTCCCAAACTCTACTATAGGTCCAGCAATAAAAGAGGAAATGATAATCATTATATTTTTAGTAGGTCTATTTTCTAGTCATTCCTAGAAACATCTCTGAAAGGAGAAAAGAGGAAAAGGGGTAGCGGTCTTGTGCAGAGGCAAAGGGAAATGGAATTCAATTTGCATTATGAAAGGCTTATCGCCTGGCAGATGCTCTATGCTAAAATGCCACTACAACTCCAAAAAACCCCTTTGTACTAAACTGTAGAACCACAATAATCTCGACAGTTCCAGTGAAATAAAGGATGAAAAATGATTGAAAAGTGGTTCACTTATATGAGGGTGAGGAGAGAGTCAATTTGGATGTTTTATTCACATAGATGTAAGACCAATTGACCATTTCAAAATACACTTTGGATTTGAAATAATAATTATTTGGGGCCAACATTTTACAGTTAAATTCACTAAGAAAAACTGTATATTATGGACAACAAAATGCTTTCATAATATCCCACGTTAAGCCATTGGTGAGGGGAAATCCAAACACTATCAGTTTCACTCTGAAAATTATTTACTGTTTCGCAGTTAAAATCTAGATATCATTTTTATTTTTTAAATTTTCATAATTTTTCTCTTCCTTTTAGTGGCCAGGTAGGTTAAATTATGCATGTCCCTAGTTTGCTTAAGGTCCTTTAAGCTGAGCAGTTAATTTGGGTTTTGTGAACATACATTTGTATCATTAACTCCATAAACTAATTACTATTTTACATATGTGAACTATGAAAAAATGGTGAGATTTTTGCTTATTTCCTGTTGCCCTGCTTCAGAATTTAAGTAAATTTTGTTTCCTAAAAGAACTAACTACTTAGAGAGGGTTGAGCCGATGGTTAATTGTCTTGCACTACAGTTAATCTTATGATTTATTGGATATAATTTTTACAATCTATCATTTAGTCTACAGAATATGATAACTTGGACCATGTCTACAATAATCTTTACATATGTATGTGGGACACACATTTCTGAAGCAGGCTAAAACAAATTACCACTGCAGGTTAAAAAGGTGTATTGGAGCTAATTAGTGCTAAGTGGCGTAACTACATCATCCTAGATCTAGAATAATTAAAACACTGTTCCAAACTAGTAATAATAAATCACAAATGCTGTATTGTGCAAAATGCATTAATTACACATAAAAACTCTCCTCTGATTATTTTGATTACAATGAAAAATAAAGTTTGCTGCAATGAAAAATCCAATTCCATAAAACTAATTGTTTCTATGAAATGATTCAGGCGGCATTTTAGAAGCAACTCTGAAAGTATTTTCTTTTTAGTGTGTGTATAAAAAAAAGACTCTATAAAATAGGGGCTCAATTTTAGGTAAGGAACGATATGAATTAAATAAGTCACATCCAATTTCAGGTAAACTATAAGCTAACCAGTGGATCAAAATACGAGTTAAGGTTTTTCAAAGTTAATGATAGCAATACTTGGCATTGCCCTTCAGTTAAAAGAAAAAACCAAAACACAACAAGAAATGATTTTCATTACTATTTTTCAAATCAGAAACACTACTTTGAAAATAATATTTTTAAAGTTCATCTAGAAATCAAATAGATGGCCCTAAAAGTGTAATATCTTAACATAAGTGAATAATTTAAAAGCAATGTATGATAGGGTATTATGGTTATCACAAGAGTCCACAATTAAGGTTGCATAGTGGAGTGTACTTGGGGTGGTGGGAGGGGTGTGGGGGGATTGTGTCCCAGGGAGGGAGTGTTTCTTTTACTTTTGAAAGAGAGGAGTGAACTGGGGCGGGGGGAGTGGGCGGGGAGAGAAGTGCAGCAATTAATGAATGGAAATCCAAAATCTCTGTAAATGCTCATTAAAATTCTATTAAAAGAAACCACGATTTCAAGATTGTGATTTTTTAAAATGTTCCAAAATATTTTTACATATATATCATTTAAGAAAGCAAATCTAGGTTAGTTAGTAATTTCAAAGCTCTAAATTATATTTGTTTAGTATGTACTACAATGAGAAATTTCTTCTACTACAACATGTTCCTTTTAAAAAAATACAGTTTGATTTCCCACAATGAAAACAACCATGCAAGACTGGAATATTTATGTTTACATGCAATATGATTGGCAGCTCTATAATTGTGATAAGCTCCTCGGACCACGGTTTCTATGGCAACGGTCTAACTGTCCATTCTTACCTGCTTTCTGGTCATCCACTGTATTGAGTTTAGTCTCGTCAGCTACTGTTAAAAGGTAAATGTATAATGGTTAGCCCAGTTAGTTCCCACAGACCAGCATGCTGCAACCATTCCCAGGGTTTCTCAGTTAGGTGACAACCCCTAGGTAATACTTCATGCAATTAACATGAAACATCAAGCCCATATTCATAATCAAAAGGGGGAAAAGCAGTGTCTCCATGCAATATGCCAATCACTTCAATTCACAGGCACGTGTGTTACTTATATGTTAGCACATCATAATTAGCCCAGGCAATTCATCACCAATTTTTTTCTTTTATGCATGTGATAAATTAATGCTTTTAGTCTTGAAGTACAGCCACCAGAGAAGAGCATAAATAAGTTACAGTTGATTAACAAAGGTTTTTTAAATCATTCAAGAAGTTTTAGATATAATTAATTACTTTAATTTTTCCTTCCCCTCTTTTGGAGGATTTGAATTTAAATAGAGACACTACCTGATTGGTGTCTGATTGAACAACTAAGATTATTTTTCCTCCTCTCATTTGCTTCCAAATACTTTCTACAATAAATATTCTCTTAAATTATTACTTTCATTAAATGCCTTAATTATCAACATGTAGGAACTTCTAGAAATAAATCATAAAGAACAGCAATGAAAGGAAGACATAATGAAATAACCAAATTCCAGACATGGATTGAGATAATGGTTTCTTCTCCAAAGCATTTTCCTCTAGTTTTAAAAATCGTCTTATAACCTAACAAATACTATTTCAAGGAAATTTGCTGTAAACAGCCAACATGCTAAAATGTATTTCATTTTTATAAAGAAAAATGAATATAAAACATTATCTGAACATGTTTTTTTCTCATAAGAAAATATATACATCAACATATTGTATATTATGTAAACATGTCACTTATGAGTAATATGGCTATCTCAAATTCAGAGAAAAACTAATTTTTGCCAAATTTCCACATTTCATATTTATTCTATTTCTCAACGTAAACAGACATGTTTGAGACCACCAATTTTATCCTGAGAGCATCTAAACCTTATTTAGATAAAGATTCATGGAGATTGTACTCACTACCTAAATCCATGCTTTTTGATTTTCGTGTTTTTACGAAATCCAATTGACTGGCATCTGAAAATTGCTTTGTGCGTTTTTCTGACATACTCTGGCGTCCAAATCCTTCTCGTTGAAAAGCAAGACCTGGATCAACATCAGGGCTCAGGGAGCTGGTATGAAGAGAAAATGACACGGAGGAAAATTAGTTAAAATAGAAGACACACAATTTAGGAAAGTCTACAGATACAACAATATGCATTTAAATATAAATCTCACAAAAACTTAATCTATTGAAAACAGACCCAATGTTGTTTTTGCATAAGAAGCTGTAGAAAAACAAAAATTTAATTTATTCTTAGTCCTTCACCCTCTGAATTTTCTCCTCCATTACTTTTTTCTGAGTTTTCTCTACTTGCAAACACATTCTTATTTTTAAGAACCTTATATTTTGTAGAAATTTGAAGTATTCGATACAAGGAAATTTGCCATACGAGAAGCAAAACACAAAAGTTCTTTGGTGTTTTTTTTAAAACAAAATGTCTTCTGGCCCTTTTATATATCTGCTACACCTCTGAAGGAAAAAAGGAATAGGATAAAAGGTACTCTTATCTTTTTTATATATTTTTTTAATTGGGATTTTAATGCTGGTTTACAGGAAGTTTGGGGTTTTATTCATTCATTGTTACATATTTTCCTCCCTCCTCCAGCCTTCTGCCTTCCCCAGTCCTCTGTGCAATGAAGTAGTTTCATGAGAGTATAAATTATGTGTAATACTTAATCAACAAGGAGTAATCAACAAGGGTTTTGCAGTGTAACTCCTGAAGCACTAGGTCACCAGAGGCAAGTGAGGATATGACACGTAATCGGTAAAAGCATAACTTTTTATGTGTTTCTCTTGTGACATCATTGGAATGACAGTGAGTGACTGATTTTCTTTACTCCTATCGTATACACTAACAAACATTTTAATATGTGCTCGGAGGTGTTCTGGGCACAGTCCACACCATGAAAGTATTTTCTCTCTTTGCTAGGCACTTGAATAAATAAATCCATTAGCCTTCCTTTTGCAGGGAAAAGTTATCTTTATGCCAAGTGGGAGAGGGTTACACAGTTAACGAAATGAAGTGAGGATGAGAAGGTGCCATTTCCACTGTCAGGTGAGGTGAATCCAGCATCATCTATTCAAACAAGTGTCACTAGTCCTTTATGGTCTAATGAAAATTACTGCACTTACTGGTAAATAATATATAAATCTAACTCAGATAAAGATGTGATATATAGCAGCAATGTGGGTAGAATGACAATAAAATATGCTGTTGTTATTATTGATTGCCCTTGAGTCAAGCACAACTTATAGCGGTCCTATCAACCCACTTTCTAAACAACATGCCTCTGGAAACTCTAGGAACTTAGAGAAACTAATATAAAGGAGCTAATCCAAAAAATGTGAAAAGTAGACCACGAGGGTAAACAAACTACCACTGACTTAAGAACATAGTTATGTAAAGTCTTTGTCTCTAAGAGATGACAGCAGTTGTCTAAGGTATTTTACAAACCAAATAAAGTAGTCAATGACATATGGTGAAAATTCTTTGTAAATTGCAAACAGTATAGAAAATAAGTTATCACCCAAAACTCAAACTCATTGCCACTAGGTCAACAATGGTCAACTCATAAGAACTCCTGACTGAGCTTCTGAGGCTACAAATCTTTATAAGAGACTGGGGAGACACATCTTCCTCCCAACGAGAGGCTGATGATATACACTTCTGACCCTTTAGTTAGTAGCTCAATGTATAATGCAACTATGCCATTATTATTACTACTACTACTACTACTACTACTACTACTACTCCTCCGCCTCATAAATGACCTTTTCACCTTAAATGGTCAAACAAATACATATTATGGTATCAGAAACATAATCAAATGCTGATGCATCAACTCCAACTCACAGCCACTCGTGTCTAAGAACAGAAACAGAAATGTATTCCATTGAGTCCTCAGTGTCTGATATTTTTAAATATGCTGCCAGGCCACTCTTCCTCTCTGGGTTGACATAAATTGCCATTTTTTCAGTTACAAGCAAAGACATTAATGGTTGGTATGAAACAGGTACTCCAATGAAAATCTAGCATCCCTAGCAGTCCCAGAAAGACACAAATCTTTTCTAAAAAGTACAAAGTCAAGTCATAAATACCTCCTTAAATGTTTCATCCTAAGTACCTTACTTCCCTTCTCCTACTCCTGATCCAGGTAAAGAGTAAAAAGAAGATGTAGCACTGTATCACAAAGGAATTGAGAAGTTAGCCCAAGATATGCTATAGAAAATGTCCTCTTGCTTGCATTCACCTCTAAGCATTTTTGTTTTCAGTATGATATTCTTTTTAATTTCAACAACTCTGAGTAAATTTTTGATGTTCCAATAAGAAGCTAAAGAAACAAAGTTCTACATGGGAAAACATAAAACTCATATGATGAGAACTATACATTTTTTAACAGCAAAGTTTAATATACTCCCAATAATAGCAATTCTTTGATTTATACAAAGTGTGTAAAAGGTCAATCCATTTATTGAACTCTTTTACTATTCTATAGGTAAAAATAAGCTCCAGTTTCATATCATGTGAACATTGTCAACCTTGAGTCAAACTTGTGGTTAAAAGCTTCTTATTGGTAAAAGATTTTTCAAAGAAACACAAAGAGCTGATGTTATTTGAAGGGTGCTATGGTGGCCTATGGCAAGGGGTTGTGCTGCCAACCCAAAGGCTTGCAGTTCTAATCCACCAGTTGTTCTGTGGGAGAAAGATGGGCAATCACTTCCCATATGACTTACAGCCACTGAAAATCCACTGGAGGGTCAGATATGAATTGCTTCCTACAGCACATAACAACAACATTATTTGAAAGCTGTCTACTGTCACATTCTTTAACAAATTTTATAGCCTCTCAAATGGTGGTGTTACTAAGATTGAAATCAGCTGTTCTGTCTTTTCCCCTCTTCTTAAAAACATTACTGTAAATGTTTCCTAAATCAGTTCATGGACAAAGAAAAGCATATTGTACTAGTTAACAAATTGAAAGCTCAGTCATCTGACATACTTTGCCTTCCACAATTGTGCAGTGAACTGTAAAATGTTGGTTAGTTAATAAGAGTCTTAAAAGAACTAAATATTCTTAAACCATGACATAATTAATTCTTCCCTATCAACATACCCATTAAACTAATTTCCAACATAATACACAGGACACTCGAATATTTAACAAGTTAGACTACAGAACTGACAGCTGATTCTTTAAGAAGTAACCATATCCTGACCCCCAATGTTATTAAAATTCCAGTTATTAATCCTATCTTATTGCCCTTTTGTTTTCATAACATTTTCATCAAGGATTAGGGAGATATTGTCAGGCTGGAAAAGCTTACATTTTCTGCTGTGATTCAGAACAGCTGCCATTCTTGTTTGGATAACCCTTCATTCATATTCTTTGCTTCACTCCACAGTCCCCACTGCAAAATCATACAAGTCCTAGCCATTTTATGGAGCCCCCTTAGGGAAATTAATGCAACAATCTATTGCCACTAGTTATTTATTTATATCCACCCATACACTGCCTTGTGAGCCCCAAACTGATCGGTTCCTGTGACCGCCTTTCACAAATTCTCATCACGGAAGAGATTCAAAGGCTTTTGTCTCTGAAATGAATACCATGGTTATCTAATCCTTACTTTCTCCGTTGTTGCTTTCACTTTCAGGGAGAGATATAAACCACCACAGTAAATAGAACAGCATCCACAGATTTCAAAGGGGATTTTCACTTCATATTGCAGTTATCTTCCTCACGTTTAACAACAACAAAAATCCCAACCAATACATTCTCATTCAAAGATAAGCTATTATGCAGGCTGAGCACAGCTCTGTTTTTAAATCCTGTGTTTTCAAAAAGAGAAGGTAAAACAAAAACAAGAGAGGAGAAAGGAAAGCAAAGCTAGATATGGACATTTTAAGGGTTTGACTAACCGGTGAGATTATTCTAAGAAAATATATATTGCATTAAAAGATTCACACAACTATTTTTGTGCAGTAGTCCGGAGAGCTGGGAAGTGGCTGGAGGAGGGTTAAGACCATGACCATAATGTTAACATAAATAAATGCCAGGCCTCTGACACTTCCGAGCTAATATTTAATGTTGATTCAAGCCTAGAGAAGTGTAGAACACAGAAACTGAGCAATAGTAAAGGAATAACGTCATAACATTTAAATATAATTTTGCTGATGTATTCATGAAAGACCCCAGAGGAAGGGCAATAAGAAAATTCTAGCATAATGCTTCACATGGTTTGTGTTAATTACCAATACAACCTTACAAGGGCATCCCTAAGGGGACCTTTCCTGTCCCTTATTGATGTGTATAATTACTAGGCATGCAAATCAGGCACAACCCCACCCTCACGTGCCACACATTGGCTCAATAATATCAAACGTTTTCCTCTACACTGAAAGATACAGGGGGTGGAGGAAGTAACAGGAGAGTTCTCCAAATGTCACTCTGTCAGAAGTGAGTGAAAAGCATTTTAAACAGTATAGTTATAGCGCTCAAAAATGAAAACCTGCTAAAAAAAAATCTCCTCTCATTGCCAGCGTATCTCAAGTATTTCATTTTGCTATACTAATTTTTACAGTTCCCCCCAGTCAACTTATGGATTTATTTAGACTTTATTAATGTACCAGAAATGCAATTCATCAAATTCATGTTGTTGTTGGGAAAATAAATAATAAATATAGCTGGACTTTTATAAAAATAAACAAGTGGGAGTTTGGGGGGGAGTTACTTTGTTAAAAAAAATGAGTTAAAAAACAAGCGTGGATACAAATGTGTTTGTTTATAAACAAATGAGTAGGGTTTGTCTGTTTAATGATATGCTTGTTGCTGCTGATGGAATTACTAACTATAGCACTGGAAGGGGAGCTGTAGAGGCATAGTCCATAGGGAGCTATGCTACAAACCCGAAGGTGGTGCCTATGTGGTGAATGGCCTCTGGAGAGGGGTGGGCAATCTCCACTTGGGTGATTTACAACTTCAGAAAGCTAATGGAGGGGTCAGCTATGAGTCTGTTCTGACTAGACAGCAATGAGTGTCAGTGACTTAGGTGAGACTGCCCATCTTTCCCCCTCAAAGCAGCCAGTGAATTCAAACTATAGGTCTTTGGGTTGGCACCACAACTCCTTTACCCACTAGGCCACCAAACCACTAAGTGTGGGAAACATGGAACTCTTGGTTCATGTGTCATAATTAGGAGTATTTAAGTTATGGGACTGTAACACAGTTTTGGTTTTTTGTTGTTGTTTTTTTTTAAATTTTATTTTATTATTTTATTGTGTGTGTGTACCATCAAATTGGATCTGACTGGTACAGGAGGAGACTGTCCCTCCTTTTCCAGCAGAGCATCTGGTGGATTTGAACTGTGCACGTCTGGGATTGCAGTGCAGCTTCTTGCCACTAGACCACCAGAGCTCCCTTGGAACATAGTTTTTTTTAAATAAAAAAATTGTTTATTAGGCAGGGAGCTCTTGTGACCTAGTCGGTAAAGAGCTGAACTGCCAAAGGCAAAGATAGGTGGTTTGAATCCACCAGTGGTCTGCAGGAAAAAGAGGGTCAATCTCCTCCCCTGTAATTTACTGCATGTGAAAACCTGCTTTGAGGGTCAGCTATGAGTTGGTTCTAACTTAACGGCACATAACAAGACAACAATATATATTAACTGAAGAACTGTGGTCTGTGATAAACAATGTACACATAAAATTAGATGTGATAACAGTTAACTGACATTGTCAATGTTTTCCCGGCAGCTTACCAATCTGCAGAGTCAGTGATTGTAGCTTTAGCCCACGCGGCAGCAGCGTCTGTTGTCACGAATCCCACATCATCATGGGAGCTTGAAGACGACTGGTCAGAGAGGTGTGGAGGAAGCACTGGTAACCTGTCATCTTCTATAATGACAGTGTCATCCTGGGGCATATTCACTGTGGGGGACAGCTGGTATTTACCTGTCCAGTAAAAAGAGAGAAATTATAGACATCAACAGAAGCATTACATGCATTAAGACTTTGCTATATTAGAGTCTAAACTCCTATACATCTGCTCAGGCTGAAGAACAAAATCGAATTGAGTACATTTCCTTTTTCTAAATGATTGTCAAATGGATACTTGTGTTTTATAACTTTCTCTGAGACTATAGTTATGGAAGTCTAGAGCATCCGGTGCAATTTCTAAGGCTGTAAGGTTCTTTCCAACTTAGTTTCTAAGTCAGTTCCAGTAACACAGTGCTTAAAGTGCTCAACTAGTAACTAATACAGTGGTAGTTCAAATCCACTAGCTCCTCAATGAGAAAAAGATGTGAGTTCCATAGAGAGTATACATTATGGGCAGTTCAACTCCATAGGTGGACTTGACTAGCAGACAGGGGTTTAGTTTAGTCTAAGAACTTTGTTTTTGAAGACCAGGAATAATCTTTAACCTGCCTTCTAATTGAACATACTATTGAAAGAAAGATGGCAATCTTACATCACCCATTCATGCACATATTCATTCTGCACCTACTGCACACCAAGTAAGAAAGACAGTGCTGCCCTTACAGAGCTCACAGTCTACTCAAGGAGACAGACATACTGTGAGGCAGGGGGAGCAAACATATATTGTCACTGACTTCTGGAGGAAAAAGGGTGCTGAGAATCTTAGCAAAAATGAACATTTGGGTTGGGTTTTGAATAACGAATATCTTTACTGGTTTTTACTGCTGGAAAAATTAAGATAGTTAATGGAAACATTGACATCATCAAAGCTATACTGGTGAAAAGCCCCCAGTGAGTTCAGATTATATTCTGATGCAGAGCATGGCCAGTATGCAGTTCACAGAGTGTTGTGCAGTTAACCTAAAGCTGGCCCCTCTCTGGGAGTTCAAATCCACCAGCAGCTCTTTGAGAGAAAAATGGGTCCTCTTCTCCTCTGTGACTGCCAGCCCCTTTAAAACCCAATGGAGGGTCAGCTACACAGGACTCTGAATCAATGACAATAAGTTTGAGTTTTGAGTTTAAAGGCATGTGGGAGGTGGGGTGAGGAAAAGGATGGCTGAAGTGATCTTACAGGGACACGATTAGGATTGACTGCAGAGGGGCTCCAGGTCATTATACAGCACATTTTATATTTTTCCTTTACAGCTTAGGATAAATTGTTCTATGAAAGAAAAGACCTACAATTGCCCACAAATGGATCAGTTCCTTGTAGGGAAACCAGCTGTGATTCACAGATCATGATGATTCTTTTGGGTAGGGTTTTGCATTTCACAATTTTACGTGGGACAAAATTGCGATTCAAGCCCCCGTAATCTGAAAGAGAAATCTCATGTCCAATTGATACCCTCTTCTTCCTAAAAAAATATGACTTATTGTTCTGGTTTTCACCTCAAATCTTCAGTAATGCTTCTCTGAGCAAGAACACATCGACAAGGCCCTGGCCCACATGATTAGCAAATGAGAAGCCATAAACAGAGAAACCACTCATTATGTAGGATGTAGGCCACCAGCCAGCTCTGCTAATGGAGCCGTGGAAGAGTATAATTCCCCTATCTATGTTACAGGAAGATGAAAAAGTTATCATTTTATTTCTTCTTTCCAAATCTGTTAGCTATGCAGGGTTCCTGCATACTTTGCCAAGAGATTACCATCATTTCACACAGGGCCCATGTTACCCTCGCTATCAATTAATTTTTAAAATAGCACAACAGTAATGTACAAGAAGTTTATTAACATTTGAACATTAATCTTAGGGCTAACCTAAAAATAACATTTTAGGAATGTGTAAATGATCATTTTTGTTTTAACCCTAGATTAGAAATTCAAAGCTGCATCAATAGACTAAACAGAAAGATAAAGAAGAATTCACTATCAGAAATATAAGTAAAGAAGTATTCAAGTTGTTGCATGTCTTTTCAAAAGAGTTCAGGAAAGTAATTTGATGGTAATTTCAGATATACTATCAAGTACTTTAGAGAAATATTTTGGGATCACAATAAACATATAGCTATGGTAGGTTAGTGGTAAGAAGCTATGCTGCAATCCCGAAGGCATGTAGGTCAAGGCCGCCTTTCTCTCTGTGGAAGAAGGATGTACAATATCCTTCTGTGTGATTAACTGCCTCTGAAAACCCACCAGAGGGTCAGCTATGAGTCGGTTCCAACTCTATGGTACACAACAACAATAACAAACTTACAGTCAGTATTTTACCAAGGATAACTGCTTTTCAAAAGTTTCATTTTAATCAAAGTGAGAATTTATAACTTTTGGTGAATATTAATTAAATGTAGCACAAGTACAATATTTAATCATATTCCATTTCTAAACGCAAATAATTCCATGTATTCCTGTTCTAGTGTTAAGATGTTAAGGCATTTGTTTATAAGCCTATCCAAAATAAAAACCAAAACAATTTATAAGTAAGGTAGGCCATAGAAGCTGGATTATCAAAAACAATTAAAAATAGCTTCCTTCTGAGGATATACTTTGCCACTTCAAAAAGGGTACATTATTTCAAAACCAGAATTACCCCAGTGATATTCCATCATTGACAAAACATTGTGTCAGAACATTGAATGCTATATCTTTGCTCAGGCATAATTTATTATTAAAAAATATTAATGTGCAATTATTAAAGTACCCATTTCAAAGCAAACAACCAACCAGCTACCTAAGAGTTCAAGTTTATATTTTGAGAGCCAGTCTCTCAGTTCTGAGTAATATGGAACCCAAAATGGTTCTTTATATTATATCCTTCTTCATATTATGATTAAGTATACAAACTTTAAACAGCAACAAATGGCAAATAGCAAATAGCAAAACAATAGCATTTTTCTCTTAGCCATCATTGTGGAGTCAAATATTTCACAAGGGTCAGGAATAATCAATTTTCTGCTTTGCATGGTTGACAGGAACATAATAATGACATCTTCCGCAAGGAATGCACTGGAGTAAATGGGTGAATAAACTACATAATCAACCACTCTCCACCTAGGCAACAGTTTAAATCTTCAGTTATCTTAGTAATACTTTAGAGTATCATAAATGTAAAACCTTTTTCTGCAACTCCTTAATAAACAACCTGTAACTTAAGACACACAATAGCCAACATCTTAAAGTAATTGAGACAACAAATACAGAATGATTGTTTACTAAACATTTATTCATTGGTCAATTCACATAGAATGTAATACCACACATGACACTAGAAACAAATGAAATGACTTAAATATTGCTGGGGATATGATGCATACACAGACCAAAGGGGGAAATACCAATTTTTCTGTACTGAATTTCTAACAAAATGGCAATCATTCTATTATTTTAAGACATACCATAAATGGATAAAGATTAAATTCTAAATTTAATGCAACAGATTTCTATTTTGTTTTCAACAGAAAACAAAAAAAGTGTTAAAAATTATTCAAGATTCATTTTCTGAAATTTGGTAGATATTGAAAAGGCTTTTTATGGAGAGAAATCTCATTGAAACTCACTATGGGTTACTTTTTGGTGATTCAGGACCTCTCTTAGCAAAGTCATTAGAATAGAAATTCAAGATAGTCAATGGCTCGGGAAATCTTGCCTTTGGTCACAGCTCTGATCCCTCTAAAAGCTCAGTGCTCAAGTAATATGGGGCAAATGACTCAGCAAAAAGGAATTTCATTTCAGTTCAGAAGCTCAGAATCCACTCAGCTTCAGTCAACTCATTTAATTTTTGTCAGCAATAACTTGCTTGAATAAAAGATAAATACGTTTGAGTTCAAGATTTTGACTGTTGTACTCAAAACATAACTTCTTAGTTTGGGAGCGCGTGTGTGTGTGTGTGTGTGTGTGTGTGTGTGTGTGTGTGTTTTAAATTGTAGTGGTTTCCAGGATGGAATACATCTCAAAGACTAATTTGCTTTAAAATGAAGATATTTGTGAATACATGGTAATAAAGAGTGAATGCCAGTAGATACTATTGATTAATAAATGCATCCTTAAAGTAAAAAAAAAGGAAAACCCGAAACCAGCTTATGTCATCCTTATGGAACAGATTAGAATAGTCTTATAAGGATTTTTAAGACTGAAAATCTTTATGGAAGTAGATTGCCTTATTTTTCTACTGTGGAGCACCTGGTAAAATTGAACTGTCAAACTTTAACTTAAAAGCAAGCTTTCTAAGCATTATGTTATCAGGGCTCCTTAAACAACCATTAATAAAGATTATTTTTACAAAAAGAAACTAGCCTAAAATGAAATTTAAAAAATTATCACAGGAACCTCTAGCTGTTTTAATTGGGGATAAGTTTTGGCATTAAGTCTAATGACTCTTCTTTTTTGGTCTATTATTTGTAAACAATCCTTTCTAGTTTCACATATGGACCATTATAAATGAATGAGAAAACCTCAAACCTTCTTTTACTCTAGAGGCATAAAAATGTTGCCCTGTTGGCACAAAATTAATCATTTTTTAAATTTTGTCATCTGGAATGTCAAAGTCTTTGAATCATAGCCGATCACGAAGTGAATGGAATCATGTCTACCAATGTTTATCCAGAAGCTATTCCAAATGTATACAAGACAGCCATTAATCAAACATGATCTACCTGAAATATAGCAGATCATCAAGTAGATATTACCACCACCACCAATGTGCACAAATGAGTCAGTTAAAATCTATACAAGGTAATTTTGACCCATATGAGATCCGTCTGAGAAGTTTCCATGCATCCAAATACTGTGCTGACAATAAACATGATTGTTAATAGTTTAGGCCAATGGCAATTCAGCAAGTCAATACTCTTTTTCAGCATTTCCAGTCATAAGGTAACATCTTGGATATGATTTATGATAACATTAAGTGAGACCTAGCTTCATAAACAGCATTTATTTCTCAGGGGTCACTACTACACTGGGTTAGAGACTGATAAAGAAGGAGGAATTTTCAAAATTGTAAAAAGTTGGGTCAAAATAAGACAGGAGATTTTTTCAAGGAAAACTATACAGAGAGAATGCTAGTTTCCAGCACAACACATTTTAAAAAGTCATCTTAAGAAAATAGCCACATCATTCAACATCAATTTAGCCTACTCTCAAATTGGAATCAAGTCTGTTCCACCAGCCCAAAGCAACAAAAAGACATGCATAGTACATCACAGAGCAGGTCCCTGGGAGGGGAGTTACTGCCATGGGGGAAGCATCTGGAGTTTGGAAAGTTCATTACATCTCTGACAGAGGGAAGGGAAACAATGGCAACTATAATGTAACCTTAAAGAGGACTAATGAAGCCATAGTAAACAAACCCAAGGAGACCGTCTAAGAAGAAAATAAAGAATCCTTAACCCATATTTACAACATTGCAAAAAAAGTCACTAAGTGAATGCTTGGGGGAGTTTGTGTGTGTCTGGTTGGTTTTGTTTGTTTATTTTTTTAATTGTTCGCCTTCCTCTGAAGCACCAGGGATTGGAGGCAGGATGCAGGTTACAGGAACTGGCGGACCAATGGTCTGATTCAGTATGGCAAGTCCTACGTTCCTATAATAAAGGGGAAATTACAGCGTATCACTTTGTATGCACAAAGATCCAGGCCGCACTCACTCTCTCCTTCAAGGCAGCTGAGTTTTCATCAACAAAAATTACTTGATAAAAGTTTAACACTGAAGCCAAAAAAATAGAGTAAATTCAGCAGCAGTGAGCAGAATTAATAAGCAAAGATCAAATGGATAAACTATTTACAATGCCCAGCAGTTAACATGCTTAATATGCTTAGTAGCCCTTTTGCCTTTCACTTATGGCAAGCAAGAAGAAAAATGTTGACAAAGTAAATACCACTCGGCCATCAGAGCTCCCTAAAATCAGAGCACAGTCTTATCTAAATACTTTCTGTAACAATGTAAGAAAATTGAAAATTTTAGTAGTGATAGTTATACACTCATCCTATCATTCTGACTAGAAAGCTCTCTGAAGCCAGAAATGATTGTTTATTCATCGTTGTATAGACATGAAAAGTCGACACTATGTTTTTCATCACTAGTAGGCTTCCCACAAATAGCCAGTGATGGACATTCTTGTCCCACTGATGCTCCATAATAGAAACTAGAATTGCATTAAATCTGCATTAAATGTCCTCAAAATGGAGTTAATTTGGGGGGGGGGGGTTCTGTTTTATCTAAGAACCTTGCAAACATACTAACAATAGAAGTGTTTAAGTGAGGTGTCATTTTAATCAAAACAGCTTCTTGTGTTTTAAATTTGAAAACTCTCATAAACTAATCCCAAGATGAGCGACTCAGTAAATCCAGCCACTCCTGTGGCAAAGCAAGTCTTTATTAACCGGATCTGTTCATAGAAAGCTGAACTGTAGCAGAGCAAGTGCTAATAACCTCATTACCCACTGGGGGCCATGCAGACGGTATGGTGTGGAATCCAAACAAAGGAGGCGGAAAATTAGTTCTAGGATTTAAAAATCAAGGTTCTGAAATAGAAATGGCACTAAAAGGTAGGGACATCCTAGTAAAGGCATGCCAAATAAAATTCAGTTTTTCCATATACATATACACAAAAACACACACTTATGTGTACATTACGTGTGCATATACATTTTTATTCCTCCTCTTTGGAACAAAACTACTAGGCATAAAACAAAACTACTGCATAAGCCTTGGTGTAAAATTATAAATCTATGTTAGACTGACGGTGAATTTATCATCTCAAACAAGCTAAAAATGCCTTGACAACTGCAAAACATTCCTACATGGTAAGTTTATTTTCTCCCTCCATTTCTCAGGATCCACACCTCACTTAACAAATCAATGTATTGACTTATTTTTTCCCATTAATGCTTCCTGAATGATTATAATGAACCTGTTGTTATTTTTTTTTAGCCCCTTGAAAACATGGGCCCTCTTTTCATGAATATTACATTAATAACCTTGCAGTGAACCAGTGAAAGCATGAAATAAGATATGATGCACAGAGTTTACCTGACTCACCCATTATCCGGCTAAGGGCAGCATTTCTTGTGGGTGATTCATCTAGCCCCTCAATCCCACTGTAGAGAGAGTGAGAAATCCTCCGTTCTCGGTCATCCAGCACTGTTTCAATGGGCAACTCAGGTCCCGGGGGGCTCCCAGGTGACTTGAGCTAAAGAGAAAAGGGGGCAAGGAAGAATCAGTACTAGAGGTCCATTTAACAGCATGGGGGAATTATAACAACTTGCCCAAGGCCTGTATCCAACTGGGTACCAAATGAACTAGAACTTTTCACCCTGTACCAAAATAATTTGTGGTGACAGCTCTGCCTAATGACCAACTTTCTGTGCCACTTTGCACTGTGCCCCCCGTGAAGTTCTGTCAGATTTCCACCATACGAGGGAAAAAAATGTATATGAAAGCATTTTTTAAAAAAGATCTGATCCTGTTGCTTATTTTTCCAATTTGACTGTTAATATCTGTTGATGTCAATTTAAGTTATAGTTTAATTTCATATTCTTAATGAGATCTTGCTCTTGCACAAAGAACACTAACAGAATGGGAGCTGGTAAAGTATTAAAAAGAACACCACAAAGTTGGTGAAATCAATAATCACTATTCTCTTACTTTAATGTTTAAGATAGTGAGCATCTGAGATATGAACTTTAAAAGTACATAAAATAAAGTAGAAGGAAGGCACAAATATTCCCATGCTGAAATAAAAGATAAGGATACTTCTATCAACATCCACTAGTCCAGTAAATGAGCAAGAGGGGACACCATTGATTTCTGTGATCATAAACTAAAGAGTCATAAGGCATTTCAAAATGCCACATAAGAAATCATACCTTTTATGGAAATAACATAATTGAGATACTTAAATTTAGACTTGAAAACAATTATGCTTCTACAAGAAACAAAATACATTTATTTATGTGAAGGCCTCCTAACATAGACGCTGAGGTTAACCCAATTCCTAAAACCTAAGTGCATTTTAATGCTAGAATGCAGCCTGAGATAGGGGTAAGTGGCAGGGACACAGTACAACACAGCAAAGTGGGAGAGAGATGCAGTACATTCCAAAGAGATGAAACCACAACTATAGCGGATCCTTCATCTGAACAAATTATTATTTCTGTTAGAAGCTATCATCTGTTTAATATAAATGAGATATTTAATGAAGTTCTGAATTGTAGACTTATCTCTCCCAGTTTGATAAGCACTGGGGAGATTTAATGCATTGAAGGGTCAACACAATTACAATTGGAGGCACGTCAAACTGCAGGAGAATAATAAACTTGTGGCGCTAGTGAATTAGACTCAATAAGGTTTAAATTGTGAAATGAGGATTTGTTTTATTAGGTTTTTTTAAATTGCAGATTACAACTGACAGTTTTACTGAAAAGTAAATTAAATATTCAAGGTCTCTGATGTAAAGAAATAAAAGAACACTTCTGAAGGAATACTATGCTTAAATTCCCACGTACTTTGGGGAGGTGAAAATAAAACAAAAACAGACAACAAAACTAATAGCTTGTTCATTTAAGAATAAATGTTTGAATTTTTGAAATGAGCACATATATTAAATAGACTAGTGCCTGCTTGCTATTCAATAATCTATTTTATAAGGAGACAGCAATACATCCTCAAGTTTGTGTAACAAATGCATTTTGCTGAGCCATAGAACTCTGTAATTTCCTAGGTGATAAAGGGAGCTTATAAGGCTCCTTCATGAAAAAAATCCCTTAATATCCTAGGAGACTATTTTGGAATTTTATAAAAGCCAAATGAAAATACCATTTAGAAAAAAACAAAACAAAACAAACCACCCCAGTACATGCAGACTCTTCTGAGACAAAAACAATAAGATGCCTGTTTAGAATGATCCACATACTTGAACGTTTTCATGGGAAAGATTCTACACCTCCCTACCCATATCTAATTTGCATCTCAAAAGGCAGATTTAAATGAAGACATCAATAGTCTACTACATAAATATTTAACAGACGACACAATGTCTTTTAATTTCTTTTCTTTTTTTTATAAATTGATTGGGGTACACAGTTTTGTTTTAAATTCTTTTGATGAATTTTTTTGTTGTTGTAAGAAAATGAGGTTAAGAAAGAGAAATGTGTCGGACTGGGGAGATGGCAACACAGAGAGAGGAATGGCTGGGCCACAGGGTCCCGGATGGTGGTGCAGACAGTGCTGCCTCCAGAAGCTACCAAGCCTAAGCACATCAGTTAGATTAAGAATAGGATTAAAATCATATTTATTAGGTGAAGGTATCAATGTAAACAGAACTTGACATTTTTGCTTCACTGTTTATTGTTTAAAAGATAAAAAAAAATCCATCCAACTGTTTCAGAAGAGTATTGAATAGCCCATGGACTGCCAAGAGAACAAACAGTTCTGTCCTGAAAAAGGGAAAAGGCTGCGCAAGGATACTGAAACTCCACCTCATGTATTTTGGGCATGCAGTAAGGAGGGGCCACTTCTTGGAGAAGTACATCATGCTTGGAAAGATGGAGGCTCAGCGTAAGAGAGAAAGGCCCACAAAAAGATGGACACAGTAACGGTAATCATGAGTTCAAGTGTATGGGACATGGTAAGGATGGCAACCTATAGAACAAGGTTCAGACCTTCTATTCTTAGGGTCTCTGAATCACAGTCAACCTGATGGTACATAACAGTGTTATTTGTGCTTGACTCTTTAGCTCCATCCTTTGGAAAGCCTTTCTACTTATTAAAAACAAAAGTGGCTCTTAGTTTCAGCAAGAGGATGAGTCAAGTTGGCTCTGTTATAGGGCGACACCATGGTGTTAAAAATAAAACTTCTTCCACCGGATTTTTTCAATGACTAATTTCTTGTAGAAAGTTCTGTTGGTCTAGTAGGTAGGACATGGGCTGCCAATCCAAAGGCAGATGGTTTGAATCCACAACCTGTTCTTTGAGAGAGAGACTGGCAATCTTTTCCTAGGGGATTTATATCCTCTGGAATCCTGCTAGAGAGCAAACTATTAATTGGTTCTACCTCAGTAGCACAAAACTTCAATTTTTCCACCCACCCTTTCTTCTGAGACATTTTTACACAGCCTGGAACTTCTAGCTAGCAGCTAAGGGCTCAAGCCATTTGAACTACTTGGTAATTCAACTGGGAAAAAGTAACTAATAATAACAGTTTGTGGAACAATAGTTATTACAATTTTATTTATAAAAGTAAAAACTTGTATATAATCCCAATATGCAAAACAATGCAAACATTTTCAGCTTTAAAATATATTCCAATATAAATGTAGCATGTCTATAATCAGGAAAAAATGATAATGAATGACAAAAATTGAGTGTTTGATCAATGATATACTCTGCAGTGTAGTATAGACTCAACTCATTCTTTTCTTTTAAAAAAGTTACATTCTTTTTTTTCTGTTTTTAAGATGAATAGAGTCTCTTTGGAGTTTGGCAAATCTTCATTTTATTCTAAGTAAATGATATCAAGAAAATGCATCCAACCTGCTCCACTACAAACATTGAGAAAGTGGCATCAATATACAGTCATAATCTTCCCCAGCAAACCTAACACTCGGTCCCAGGTATGTTACTAATTGATATTTCATTCTTTATAGATGTATTCTACATTATGTCCAATGTCTGGAACAGAGCAGACACTGGGTAAATAACTCGATAAATATTCATTCCTAAGATAATAGAATTAGATATAATTTTTCTTAAAATTGTAGAGAGGTCTTATATTTACTAGGTCATGAGGAAGTATGCATATAAAGAGCACAACACTTGGCTGAAATTAAAAAAACAAAATCTTGACCTAGATTACAGTTTTATATTATTGAAAACAGACAAGGGATAGATAAGCAGACTTACTAATTAAAGGGCAGGTTTCTGCTTGGAAGGAGAGGTGTCAGGAGTTTTGGGGACAGTTTCCGATTCTGTTTTCATACAAGATCCTACTTAATTCTGTTCTCCCCCCGATGACAGTAAGAATTAAAGAGGTGAAGTCAGTGCCCCAAGAGATCCTGTTGATACGTCACAACGTCAGATTGCACTGATGACTCTGATTCGAAAGCTCATGCTTTTATTACGTACCACTTCCTAACAGAATCAGAATATATAAACTGCTTGAATATCACCATCACAGTCAATTAGGCCAGTCACATGCTTAAGAGGAACAGACAAGTTGCTTCTAAATTACTTTGCCACTACCTTGGCCTTACAACTATTAAGCAAATCATTCGACCTTTTTGCATTTATTTCTCAATATGTAAAATGAAGCGAACCATAAATGATACCATAGGTCGCTTTCTATTCTAATATAGCTTTCTAATTCTAAGAGGTATACACCTAGAGAGAGAATTCATTCAAAAGGAGTCCTTGATAACTGAATCCCTCAATATGGGGTCTAAGACAAAAATTTGCCTGCCTATATTATCTTTTGGTATGAAGGCAAAGCTTTATACACAAATACTTTGAGCACACATATGACTAGATTACAAACACTATGTTAAATTATATTTATCTCTAAACATATGAACTTCCTTACACTATTTAAAATCAGCCTAACTGTTATAAAGAAGTTCTTCATAGTACTGGAAGAACATAGTGAGGCCTATTTCTTCCATTCCCTTCTATTCTTTTATACAGTTTTAAAAATGCATCTTAGGGTCATTAACATTTCCAGTCTCTTGTTCTGTGTCATCCACAATACAGACAATAGCAAAATAATGCCATGATGGAAAACATTTTTGTTTTCCTTGAAAAAAAAAAGAACTCCTCTCCTGGAAGACAAATGAAAGAGAAACTTTTTCTTTACTGGTCTCTTTTTTTCTTTCCTAAAAAAGAAATGATGCTTCTTAAAGATGGTTTTAAATGCAATTAAGCACTGGAAATTATGTGAACAACCCCAAAACAGGCAGTTCTAATCCACCAGCTGCTCCATGAAAGAAAAAAAACAAACCACAAAAATGGACCATCTCACCTCATAGGACTTACAGCCGCTGAAAATCCACTGACAGGTCAGCTTTTAATTGATTCAGACGCGAGAGCAGTGAGTTGAGTGGGTGGGTGGGTGAATGAGTGATTAGATGTAAGCAAAGAAAATACAGATGTACTGCAAAAATATCTTTCAGTACCTTGTCTGATGGTTATTTTAGAACT